GTTTCGGGCGGCGGCGGCGGCTCCGGGGCCGGTCCGAGCGGCGCCGCGCGGGACGGACGCACTGATAACCGCGGGGCCCGGGCGCGGCGCGCGCGCTGATTGGCTGCGGGCACCGGCGGCCCGGCCATTGGCCAGCGCCCCGCCGTCTGCGCGCGCCCCCGCCGGCCGCGCACTCCATGAAGGGCCCATTAGTGCGGCAGGTGCTTCCTGGGCTGTAAATTTGTCCCCTGATTTATCTCCCCAGGGACGAAATAAATCCCGTTGGATGGGAGTTTAGTTAGGCAAAGGTTTTAATGGGAAATCAGGAAAAAAAATACGAGAACATATTTTATCGCCGGAAAGAATGCAGATTTGAAGATCAAGCCCTCTCGTTCAGTGCGTCCTTTTCGGGGGAGAGCCCCGGGCGGCCAGACGACGAGGTTCAGCGGGCGCAGGCAGGGACTATGGTCCGAGCCGCGCCCTGCGCTCGTCAGCCTCTGCTGAAGGCTTACAGCGAACGCTGTCCTGGCGGGCCCTGGCCGAGGACGGGAGGAAGAAGCTGAGGCTCGGAGTACACGGATCGAATGGCCAGACTAGACTCGGGCGAATGGGCTGCTGGTCTGGCCAACGAACGGCCCGTTCTGTATCAGGGAGGGCCGAAGGGACAGGGGTCACACTCCGGGCTTTCTATTAATACATACTGGGTGGAGGTTCTGGGTTACCTGCAGCTGGGTGGTGATGTGGCGGCCCCCAGAGATTTCCCGTTGGGGAGATCAGGGTCTCCTATTAGAGGTTACCCGGGAGGTAACTCTAGGCAGGGGCTGCGACCCAGGACCACCAGTGGCCTATGGAGCCGTTCTCTCATAAATCGCAGCCCCAGCGGGGAGAACTGGGACCCCAACTGTCTCAGAGCTCTGAGGCCCAGGGTGCGCAGGGTGTCACTTTCAATTCTGAACGTGGGTGCGCTCTTGAAGAGCAGCAGGCAAAGCACGGCCTTTATGTATTGTTCATGTGGCCCTAATGACCTCCTTGGGTCCAGAGAACTCTCACCCCAGAGAATTGCTGCAAGGTAAAATGAGGCCAAAGTCGACTGGGAGCCCACCCTATGCAGGCTCTGAACAGATGCTGAGCGCTGTCACTTTCTTCCTCTTGGGTAATGCTGTGTATTAACAGTAACAGGTGAAGGCTATTATAATTATCTGCTACCGGTTGGGTGGGAGCCGTGACCCAAATGTGTGCAAGAAGACGACCATTTCGGGTCTGGGTTTCTGGGTGGAAGCTGTGTGTTCGAGGTCGGCTCTCTGGGGCCTGGGCCAGTTCGTTACCAACGACTTTTCCATTTTGCCCCAGCCGCCGGGGTTTTGGTGTCGTGGAAGGAGGAGACCTCCGCGGTTCTGTGCAGCGGCCTAATGTCCACTCCCTCTTCTCCCTCCCGGGGTTCATTTTCGTTTTATGTGCCACGGGTTAGGGACCCATCAAGTCGAGGTTTCAAAAGCCACTCTTGGCTGGGGCGTTGTGTGGATCGGGATTCGGAATCGCTCCTGACCGAGCTTGCGCTCACAGTGCTGCGGAGCCTGCGCGACGCGGCGCTGCACGTCTGGTGTTCCACCCCTGTGAGGTGAGGCCCCGCGCATAGGGGTTTTGCTCTTCTGGTTTTCTAGGCGGGGTCAGTATCCGATTGTGCGCCTCAGCCCGCCGGCGATGGAGCCCAGTTGAGGCAAGCCTACGGCCCTGGACACAGGCACTTGGGACCCTTACACTGTCCATGGCACCCAGTCCGCCTGGCCCCAAACACTCTCCGGGCCTCGCTCGCCCCCACATCTTCGGAGGAAATACACAAGGCGCGCGCTACGAGTGTCCGAGCACAAGGGGAACCCTCCCGAGTAGGGTTTGGATCCTCCTGGGCTCCCGAGAGGTATTAAGGCGGGAGGCCAAGGCCTCTGCAGGGACGCGGGAAGCTGTGGGGTTGGGGGCAGGGCCGGAGAGGGCGGGGCGGGAATGAGTAGGAGGGGCCGGACTCCATCGCGGGACCCCAGCTCCGCTCCACCCAGCGCAACCCGACTTCAGGCAGCAGCGGCCGCTAAGCTGTCTTGCAGGAGCGCGGGTCTCCAAAATATGAACAGGGAGAGGCGCGCCCAGACGGGAGGGCAGGTGCGCTTTATGTTCCCGTAGGATCCGGGGAACCTCGGCGCTAGGCAGAAGGAATACCACCGCTCCAGGCTGCACTCTGGTTTCTCTCAGCCGGCCGGGAGACCCTTTAGCGCTGTTTAAGACTGAGAAAACAGTTTTCCGGTCGCTGCCCTGCGCACCAGCAAGCCTGGGTCTGTGTAAACCAGAGTCCTTCCTCGGCTGTGGCCTGAACGCGCGGGGTCGCGAGTGGGATGGCAGACTCACTGGGTAACAGAGTGTGCGGCTCTCCAGGGGCTCCCAGCGTGCGGAATGAGGGGGCTGTGAGTGCAGGATGAGGAAGATGGTGCGAGTCTCGGCGCCCGAAGTGCGGTGTGCGTTCTACGGGTGCCTTGTTCTTCCTTGGACACTCTGGACACTTCCCCTCCCAGCTGGAAGACTTAACGCGGAGTCCCCTCCCCCGGTTAGGCGGGCTGCTGCAGGGGTGCTAAACTTCTTTCCCGTGCGCGGTCGCTGGTCGCTGCCCAGAGCTCCCACTCACAACGCTTCTGCTGCGTCCCCAGGCACCACCCCCTTGGTAGGATCCAAGGAAGCTCCCCTCTTGGAGAAAGATCCCAGAAGCCGCCCTCCCCAGAAGGCGAGCGCCGCTGGGCTCCCTCCGCGCAGCTGTGGAGAGGTTCGCCAATGCCACCTCCTGGTTTAGCAGAAAATGTCCTACGACTGCGGGCACTTTCGTCGCAAACAGTTTGCAGCTGGAAGATGGATCACGCGCCATTTGGCAGAACTCTTTCAGAACTTATTTCACCCTTTCAACCTGTGTTTGTTGGGTACCTGCTATGCCAGGTCACCCTGAGTAAGCGAAGTGAACAGCTGGGAACTCCAGCCTCTGATGCTCTCCCCTGGCAGTAGTGGGCCGATAATAAACCGTTGGTGAATAGAACACCCCGAGTGCCGGCTGGGAGGACAGGTAACCGACCGCTCAAGGCAGGGGTCGGGTATCTCCCAGAAGGAACCTTAGGGCAGGGGGAGACAGGCGGGTCACAGGGACATGCACGCGAGAGGAGCTTGGAAGCTATCTGTGGCCGCACAGGGAGCCCGAGGAGTCCCCCCCGGGAACTCATACACGAAACAGTGACCCAGTGCAGCTCTGGGCAGCTCCTGGGCTGCCCCTGCCCTGGCCTGACCCACTCTAGACTGGAGTTTCCGAGGCAGCCCTCTGTGTAGCGTCTTGGCTTTGTTCTGTGCGCAAATGAGAGCGCGTTCACTCGGCTAGCGGGGTGCTTCCCGGCGCCAGTGGTCCAAAGGAACGAAAAGGGACCACTGAGACTACCCAGAATCATCTCTGTGGTTGCCATCCAGCTGGCTCGGGATGAAGAGGAAGACGTGGGTTTACGGAGCCGGAGCTGGAGGGTCCCCAGAGGTGGAGCCCAGGGCGCAGGTGGAGTTACAGGGCCTCTGCGGGGGGGCCCACCAAGACGTGTTGCCCTCAGAACAAAGCAGCGGGGAGGAGCCGCCAAACCCCCAGCAAAATGCAGGGAGAAGGGCAACCTCTCTAGCGCCCTCCAGTGGCAGATGTGGCGCTGCGACAAGGGCTGGGGCAGAGTGCCCTCCATGGCTGGGTGCCAGAGCATGAGTCAGGGGTGGGTGGCCTGGGGCAGGACGGGTGGCTGAGGCCTCGCCCACGTCTCCAACCTGCGGACTGTTTGTGGCTCAGCCGGCCCAGACTCTTGTGCAGCCCATTGCCAACAGCCTGGCTGCCCATCCCTCCCACAGGGATCTGCAGGTAGCCTCCTGTCCTGGGGCTAAATAAGTGCTGTAGAATAAGTGAGCCTGCCAGGGGTCGCAGGCTTCAGAGGTTTGGGGAGGGCAGAAAGTTAGAGAGGGGAGCCTGTGAACGCTGGGTTGGGGCTACTAAGGAGAGAGAGGCAGCGCCCGCTGCTCCTGAGCAGAAGGGCATCATCTCAGGGCCAGGGGCTGTCAGTAGCCAGCCCTTGTGAGGTGTCTGGTGGCCCTTGAGGTGTACGGAGACTTCATTGGCAGGGACCAGGCCACTTGCCGGCAGTGGTCAAGGGGAGGACAGCTGAGGTTGGGGAGATCACAGGCTGGTGGTCTCCAGGCCGAGAAAGACTGGGGCAGAGCTCTGGGAATCTGGGATCCTGAGGGTGGCAGGAGGCCCCACTGGTAGGCTAAGGAAGAGGACATTGGGCAGAGTGGGCAGGGGTGCCAGGGCAGCCCACCACTTCCTGCAGGAAGCAGCCTAGGCAACAGGCAGACCTGCAGGCCCAGGTGTCAGGAGGGAGAGGACCCCTGGACTCTCCTGAGGACCCCTCTGGAGTCCCCCAGGCCCTCT